ATATTTAACACAAGTCACTTGGAGGAAGAATTCATTACTAATTATCATATTCATGTAATGATGATTAAAAAAAATTGAGTAAATACTAACTCCTGCCTTAATGATTGTAATGGGCTGTAATGTTATTTAAATTTGTTTTATAAAAATGTATTATAAATGATATAGTTAGAATAATTCATCACACTTATAAACTTATTTCAATACGAGAAGCCCAATTTTATTTCCATAGTTAGCCACATTTCTTAGCCTGGTTTTGGCACTATTTGACAAAATATATTCTAAAGGCAAACCACCTAAACAGAAAAGACAGTTTGGAATTTGGGGAAGAGCTGTCTCCTGCTATTTTTCTTTCTTTTTCCTCTCATGAAAAGAACTGCATGCTTAGAGCATTGCAACCATTAAGACTACACTCTGATAAGTGAATGGAATAAAACACAGCAGAACAAATGCCGAAAATTGGCAATGCTGATGTTACCTTTTGAAAGCTGAGGAAGAATTTTCATTATAAAAATTGTTTGAATTTTTTTCCATTTTCCTTCCTCTCTACCGTCTTTTCTAAATACTTCTATCAACTTTCATTTGAAAAAAGATGAATGAGGACGTCAGTAAAGAAAAAAAATTCTGTAGTTAGAAAAGAAATAGATTATTGCTTTTAGCCTCGTTTTTCTTGAATTCTGGTTGCAAGTAAACCAGGATTATTTACATCCTTGCTATGTCACTTTTAATTCAATAAAGTTTTCCAATTAATGTTATTTTTTTACTCTAATTACAAATAAGCAATAGAAGGTTTTAACAAAATGTTCTGGAAAATAACATCCATCCATTAAATCGTTAAAGAAATTTGGAACAAGCAGTTTGTCATACTTCTGGCAAGCTTACTAATGATTGGTTTCCTGTATATTAAGCTGTTGTAAAGATAATAGCAAACTAAAAATCTTCTCTTCGTGTATGTACAAATTAATTACATTCATATGCAATTCACATAATTGTGACTCACTTTGCATTTTGATACTTTGGAAAATTTATATGGAGTTCATGGGTGTATCTTCTCCTTCTTCCTAACATTCAAGGTCTCCATTTCTCTTACATGAATGTAGTGGGAACCTGGAGTCCATAGCAGCCAGCTGCCATAAACATGCAATGACTTGGCAGAAAGATAGAAGGTTAACTCATAGTTTCTATGACTGCCTAAAAGTTTAAGAGGTTTACTTTTTTTTTGGTCTTTTTTTTTTAACACAAATTTCCTGTTTAAAAACCTAGAAAGAAAGGGCCCTTTGTTGAATACTGGTATGCTTTCCAACAGAGATTTCTGATTTTCCCAGAGTGCTGATGTTTTTGATTGGGTTCTGAAGTTGGGAAGAAGGAACATGGGATTTTAGACACTATTTCCACTGTGTTTTCTCCTTCCAATATAAATGGTGGTAGAGAATCACTTTGCAAGGTGTTGTATTTTTTAAATATTTATACAATTTTTAGAACTGGAGTCTAAAATCCTGAATTTTCTGGATTGTTCAGGTAATTATGTCATCCTTTCAAAACAAGAGAGAAAATAAAACTGCCTGGATTATTTCTACAAAACAATACATTTGCCTTCAGATTTGACTGTTCTGTCACTAATAAAAATAGTAGCATGGAAACTCAAGAAATCAGGCTCTAAATAATTAAGATGAGGTCTTTTAAATTCACATGATTTTAGATTTAGGAGAGAGGTTATAGACTCTTCTTTCCTATGGGTTTTCAAGTATCTAATTAGTTCTCTGTTCATTTTCTAATTAGAAGCAAAAGGGTACAATTCTTTTGGGCAGAGAAGTTTCTTTAGCTGGGATCAAGTCATTAATAATATAACTTTAAAGGATATTGTGCCTTTGGTCAAAATTTAGTGTAAAAGTTTGAGATATGTCCACTTGATGACAAAAAAAAAAAAAAAAAAAAACCAAGAATTCTATGTCACAAGCATTTATACACATACACTGACCTGGATAGAAGGCATACTTGTCTAGTCATTAGAATTTTCCAAGCAAAGGTGAAAAGAGTATGGATTCAGTGACAAAAATAAGAATTTCTTCTGGGGTTGGGGATGCAGCTGAGTGGTCAAGAGCTTATGTAGCATTCACCAGGCATTCAGTTTCCAGCAGTGCAAAGGATGACGACAGAAACTGCTCCTAAGTGTACTTTGCCTGTCTACACTTGATGCGAACCAGAAGGGAAGACTCTTATTTAATTTTGTCTACCTCTGACAGCTGCCAACTTAATTTGGCGTGTTTACTTTCACAAAGGAAAGGGTTCCAGCTTAGGGACAGGTCAACATTTTCCTTAATTAACATCATTTTTTTCTTCTCAAAAATCTATCCTGAAGTTCAGTTTTGGCATCTTGTTCTTCACTAAATACATGTTAAGATTCTGTGTGAGTTAAAATAATGTAATGGCTTTGCCATCCAACAGACAGAAGTGTGATTCCCACCTTTATCACTTGCTGGCCCTGCTGCTGTAATTCATTTAACCTCACTAAACCTAATTTCCACTTTGGTTCTACAAACTCTGAATAATACTTTACATGACTGGATTGTCTGGATATCTACAAAAGTATATTTGTATAATCCCCAGTGTCACCTAAGCCCCAGTAGGGTCATCTGTACCATTTGCTGACAATTCATTAGATATTTTCCTATATGGGCCAGTCATCAAGACTGCAACTTTCCCACTTTATGTGTCACTATAGGAATTCTTATAGGACTACAAACTGAGGGATTTATTCATGACTAAGCTTTAATGCAACTGGTAATGATACTTATTAGGCTACCTAAGTATTGGTACAGACTTGGCCTTGGACTTGGTGTCCTGTCTCACTATTGTGCTAAGGTCGTCTGTGTTCTACTCTGTGGCCTCCTGTACTCCTCTACTGATACCCAGATAAATGGTATGCTCTTCCTGGATTGAGAGCTCTTAGTGGGGAACACCCAGAACCAGGAGAAGACAGCCTGTGTCAAAGGGGGTCAGCTTTGCCTTACACCTTGGATGACTCTTTCCCAGTGGACAGGATCATCTATCAGACTCAATGTAGTCTCACATTAGATCCATTCCTGATGTCTCTAGACACATAGTTCAAGGTACAGAGTCTAGACCATTCTGACCTAGACTAAGCCATATTTAGACTTTGTGGCATGTTTTGAGCCATCTCTTAGGGACCTATTTTCTTACCCTGTTCCTGGCCTCCACTGCCCTACCACAAAGCTCCAATGATGAAAAGTTTTTAACTATTTCAATGAATTCCTGTTACACAGAGCATCAGAAATTGTAGCTGGCCATTTGCTTTTGAGCAAGGATGTCTCTTCATCAGTGTCAGAATCCTTCTTGATACTCATAGTACTCTGAAGAGCGGTGGGGAGGGGCAGGGAATAGAGAAGGTCCATATCTATCTGAATCTGTATTTTTATTCAACAGGCACTTGATCCAAATTTTATATGTAAACCTCCTGGTTACATAGGAAGTATTTTACATATTACTTAATATGGTTTTCTTTTTTTTTTTTTTTTGCCCTGCATGCACAGTAAGTAGAACTCTACCTTCCAAATCTGTAATTTCACTTAGCAACTCTCTTACCTAGAACCCTATTAAGATGCTGAAGATCAGGAAAACATTGCACTTATGAATTAAAATACATTCAGACAATGAGTATTCCCATTTTAAAGAGGATTCCTGGATACCAACATCTTTAACTCCAAAGAACACTCATTCAAAAAACAAAATTTCATGATCAAATTTATTACATGCATTTACATTTTATATGCATCAATAAAAAATAATTCCAGAAATGATTGCAGGCTACATGTTTTTGCTATAGTTCATTTTTTTTTGTTTCTTTAAAAGGAGCTTCTCCCTAGCATCTCTTATGTCACAGCACACAATAGTATCTATCTCCTCCACCTCCAAATAGTGTTGGAATAAGAAATTATATTAATAGAGGAAACATGGAAATGAGATTAACTTAGATGATAAAGTCAGATTGGATGGTAAGAGTCAGACCAAATATTAATGTCTCTCAGTGTCTTACTTGTTGACTTTTTTTTTCTATGAACAACTAAGAAGACATCCCTTTTCAATCACTCTCCTCCTACTGAGGTTTACTAGATAATGACGGTTGGTTCCTGCCCATCTCTGGAATTTCATATTGCATTTGTCCTTCACATGCATACCAATCTCTGACATACTGACCTACATACAAATTTTCCATACAAGTTATCAAACTTTAAGAATTTTGCATGTGGTTGCAGGGAATCTTCTTATTCAATTCTGTTGTTCCTGCAAAATTTCGTATCTAAAAGAAGTGACCCTAATGAGATCTGGAAGCATATATAAATATTCCTAATGTTGTTAAAGCTATCATCAATCTGGAAAAAACATTTAAAAAATCTTATCTTTATATTTAGATTTTATGGTTTTATGGCATGTATATATAGTTGACCTTTCACACTTGCAGGTTCAGAATGTATAGATTCAATCATAAAATATGTGAAAAAAATTGCTTTTGTACTGAAATATGTACTAACTTTTCTTTCTTGTCATTATTCCCAAAATAACACAGTATAGTAATCACTTATATACTATCTATATTGTATTAGAAATTATAGTAATCTAGAGATGATTTAAAGCATATGGGAAGATGTTCATACAATATAAGAAGAGACATTTTATAAAAGAGAAGAGGAGATTAAACCAGCCCAGGAGGATCAGGGATGAGCAGGTTTAGGAGGCTTCTGGCCTGGGTAGGGCTGTTCAGGCCTAAGGTGAAAATTAAATTGAACAGATTAGGGAGGCTGGAGACCTGGGTGGGGCCTAAGTAGATCTTGGCTTCCTGTATAAAGCCTCACCTCTCCTCTCCCTCTGGCAACAGTCTTCTCCAGCTGTTCCGATGGTGTCTTGCTCCTGAGACATCTTGCTCTTGAGACGTCTTGTCCCTGAGGACTGCGTCTTGCTCCTGACGACTACTTCCTTCCCAGACCATGGCTCCTTGGCCTGAGTTGGAAAATGCCCAGCCCATCCCCAATAAATACATCGAAGGGGCCACAAGTCCACACCAGCCAAAGGCAAGGAGTCTGGCAAAAATGACAGCAGTGGTCCTACAGCCAAAATTGAACTTCTGCCCTTGTACTCCACTGCGACTTTGATAGAGGAGCCCACTGATGTGGAAGACCCCTAGGACCTGCCCACACTCCAGGATACTGGGATCAAAGTGGTCAGAGAGAGACACCAAAGGGAAGCTCTTATGTGTCTTCCAAGGGATTGGAAAATTCATTTGACTCCTGGGGTTCCTCTACTTGTTTGTTTGCTCCTTGGATGTCCTCAGCAGTGCCTTCCAGCTGGTTGGAGGAAAAGTGGCCGGGCAGTTCTTCAGCAACAACTCCATCATGTCCAACCTCATGGCTGGACTGGTGATCAGGGTGCTGGTGACCTTCATGGTGCAGAGCTCCAGCACCTCCTCATCCATCATCATCAGCATGGTGGCCTCCTCATTGCTGACCGTGTGGGCAGCCATCCCCATCATCATGAGGGCCAACATCGGGACCTCCATCACCAACACCATTGCACTACTCATGCAGGCCGGAGACTGCAGCGAGTTTAGGAGGGCTTTTGTAGGGGCTACCATCCATGACTTCTTCAACTGGCTGTCTGTACTGGTGCTCTTGCCCCTGGAGGTTGCCACCCACTACCTGGAGATTCTGACCAACCTGGTGGTGGACACCTTCCACTTTCAGAATGGAGAAGATGCCCCAGCACTTCTGAAAGTCATCACAGATCCCTTCACGAAGCTCATCATTCAGCTGGATAAAAAAGTCATCCACCAAATTGCAATGAATGACGAATTGGCCCAAAACAAGAGTCTGATCAAGATTTGGTGCAAAACTTTTACAAATACGACTCAGATGAATGTCGCTGTCCCCTCGCCTGAGAACTGCACTTCCCCTTCCCTCTGTTGGACAGAGGGTATCTACACCTGGACAATCAAGAACGTGACCTACAAGGAGAACATTGCCAAGTACCAGCACATCTTTGTGAATTTTAACCTCCCGGATCTGGCTGTGGGCATCATCATGCTGATTGTCTCCCTGATGGTCCTCTGTGGCTGCCTGATCATGATCGTCAAGCTCCTGGGCTCTGTGCTCAAGGGACAGGTTGCCATTGTCATCAAGAAAACCATCAACACTGATTTCCCCTTTCCCTTTGCCTGGGTGACTGGCTACCTAGCCATCCTCGTCGGAGCGGGCATGACCTTCATCGTCCAGAGCAGTTCAGTGTTCACGTCTGCCATGACCCCTCTGATCAGTATCGGTGTGATAACCATTGAGAGGGCTTATCCGCTCACTCTGGGCTCCAACATCGGCACCACCACCACCGCCATCCTGGCCGCCTTAGCCAGCCCGGGCAACACTCTCAAGAGTTCTCTCCAGCTCTCCCTGTGCCACTTTTTCTTCAACATCTCTGGCATTTTGCTGTGGTACCTGATCCCGTTCACCCGCCTGCCGATCTGCCTGGCCAAGGGGCTGGGCAACATCTCCGCCAAGTACCGCTGGTTTGCTGTGTTCTACCTGATCTTCTTCTCCTTCCTGACCCCGCTGACCGTGTTCGGCCTCTCGCTGGCCGGCTCGCCCGTGTTGGTGGGCGTGGGGGTGCCCATCATCCTCCTGCTGCTGCTGGTGGTCTGCCTCAGGCTCCTGCAGTCCTGCTGCCCACGCATCCTGCCCATCAAGCTCCGCAATTGGCACTTCCTGCCCCAGTGGATGCACTCCCTGAAGCACTGGGACAACCTCATCACCTTGGCCACCAGCTGCTGCCAGCAGCGCTGCTGTTGCTGCTGCCACGTGTGCTGCCAGGTGTGCTGCCACTGCAGCAAGTGCTGCGAGGACCTGGAGGAGGTGCAGGAGGTGCAGGGTGTCCCCATGAAGGCCCCCGAGGCCTTCGAAAATGCCACCATGAACAGAGAAGACCAAGATGAGGTCAAGGCCCACGCTGATGTCCCGGGCACCAAGGCCATCTGCAATAGCACAGCCTTCTAGGACTACCCAGAGGTTGGGGGAACCTCAGGTGCCGAGTGCTCCACCCTCCCTGCCTTCGCATGCTTTCCACTGCCTCACAGGGATTTGTCCCTAGTGGGGAGCTTGATGTCAGGCCTAGCTCTTCTTCCCTTACTCAGACTGTCAGCTTCTGTGCCCTAGACCCCGCCTCCCAGAAGGCACAGCACATCACCAAGGGAGATGAGGACAATCAAGCTGGCCAGGAGGTGGCCACAGCCACTCCTGCACACAGGTGAAATAGGATGTTCTCAGATTGAACCTGCTTTTCAGAAAGAACCGCCCCTCCTCCAGGAGGGATTTATGGAAGGTTCTGGAAGGTACCCATGTAAGGGTGTATATATACACATGTACAAAGCTGTTCTCTGTTGTGATAGAGCCTAAGGGCCTCTTTCTTAGCAAAGACTGACTTCCCCCAAGAGTTCTTGCTCACAGGCGTCCCTGCCCCAGAGCTGCCCTGTTGAGGGCAAATAGCAATTGTTTGGAGACTTGGACAAGAGAATGGGAGGTGGGCTTCCCACTTCTCAATGCTCCCCACTCTTTCAGCAGTTCCCTACCTAGGCAGGTGTGGGTGGCTCAAAGTTAACCTGCAGTGTCTTTGTCCTCAAGTTTTCAGGATGGGAGCCAGGCCTGAGCTACAGAGAGGGTTAGGATACATTTGGCGCACACACACAGATTGGTTGTTGATTGATTCTGATCCTGTGCTGGGCTGATGGAGGATAAGAACAGGAAATGGTTAGCATTTGGGGAGATGTTGATTGGCCAGAGGACCTCAGGCTAATTAGAAGTCAAATTGATTGACAACCATTGAGGCTACATTGATGCCACTTCCTTGGCCAGATAGAAATAGTTCCCATTGGAGCCCTTGAAACAGAATAGGCAAGTCCATTAGTCTCACTCCCTCCACTGCTGTCATCTCTAGGGCCAGGAATCACCTGCTCCTGGGACAGGTCTGTTTGTCTCCAGTTCCTCTTTTGTGTAAGATGACTTCTGGGCCAGTAGTCAACTTCCATCCATGTTCACACCCACACATACATGCACTGGAGTCTCTATTCAAACATTTCCACCTTCTCCATGCCTGTGAGTCTCCAGACTTTTCTAGGAAGATAACCAGGTGCAGCTAGATTGCCCTGAGAACGATGATTACGTGTGGCTGAGGGATAAGGGGTGGCTCCATGTCCCAGGTGCCTCCTCTCTGCCTTCCAGAGCCCCTTTTCATTTATACCATTGCTGCTCATCTCATCTGTTTTAATTCTTCCTTGGAAGGTGAGCTTCAGGCTTATATGAGACCAAAGTATCAGTGCAGTTCTGCTGTCCTCCCCCATCCAGGCATCTCCATCTTGTCTGACCTTCTCTGACCTTCCCCCCCAATAGATACTAATTCCCAAGAGCCATTTATACTCTGTATTTATAGTCACAAATCTATACAGCATTTTTCATAAGTTATATAGTAAATAGTCTGTGATTTGTGTTTTATAGTGTCTCATTTGGAAGTGAGACAGGGTTCTAAGATGTAAAGCACAAAAGACCACCTTTGTATATTTTGTAATACCACCTTCCAACCTGCCTCTGGCCATGCCACCCTGCACGCTGTAAATATGCAGGTTAACCTGGGCAATGGCCATGGCTATCCTTGCACTCTGATTTTTAAAAATGGAATCCTTGTACCTGAGTTGATTGTATTTTTTTAAAACTGGTTATGAGAAGGAAAAAATAAAAATGATCACAACCCCCCCCCCAAAAAAAAAAATAAGAGACTTGAGCATCCCTAGCTATTGGTATCTATAGAGGGCCTGGAAACAGTCCCTTATAGATGTTATATGTGTGAACTCTTGAGTGTATATAGATAGATAGATAGATAAAAAGATAAATATGTTTGTAAATATATAGTTTGTATATGTGCATAATACATATGCATATATTATCATATAAATGTTTTATAAAAACTATATGTATTTGGATATATGTGTATATATGTGGAGGTGTATATGTGTATGCATTCCTATATGTGTATATGGATATGTATATATAGTATATATAAGACTCAATATAGACATATACAGATATATACAAAATGTCTATAACAGTTTATACAGAGAAGAGTGAGTACATCTATGTGTCTGTATACACGTATATCTGTATACATAGATATAGTTATGCATATGAATGCATATGTAGTCATGTAATATGAATAGTATTTCCAAGGCTCTTTTACCAGTAGTTCTCCAGTGAGAGAAATTTTGTCTCCTAGCAGGTATTTTTGTAAGATCTGAAAATATGGATTTGTCACCACAAGGTTGATGAGTTGCTTGGGAAATGCCAGGGATGCAGCTAAACATTATACAATGCACAAGGCAGCCCTCAAAACAAAAATTTTCTAATTCCAAATGTCAATCAGGATGAGATTAAGAAACCCTGATTTACATGGTTCTTTACAAATACTAGCGACAATAGAATACCCTCTTCTGTACCCTGATTAGCCACAGATAGACTAGTATCCCAGTACATATATGGTTTTAAACTAATTCCCCTGCAGGTGAAAATTGCTCACATCAACTAAGGCTATTAGTCAGTTCAACGTCACGTCACCTGAGAAGGATAGTTGCTGATTATCTGGTGTTTGGAACTCACTTCATATACATGGAAAGAAGGCCGAAATGGTTTCTGTTGCTCTACAATTGAAGAGACCACCTCAGGGATAGGAATTAATGATCAAAAAGGTGCAATTGTGCTGTTCACTGCCTCATGCATTGTACTATCTTAATTATGACTTCTTTCTTTTGACAATAAGGTTAAAATTATTATGCAAGTTCAGCTGAGAACATATTTGTTCCTCGTTCTAGAGAGCCTTTAACAATTACTTGATTGAAGATCTGAGCTGTAGGTAGCTGTAATTTTGCAGACTCGTTATATTATTTCTGGCTTTCTTAAGTGTTGACTCATTTTGTACTGTCTGAGAGCTGAAAAGAAATCTTTGGGGAAAGTCTAAAAATATCTTTGAGTTTTCCTTCTATTGCTTCAGTTTTATGTCTCTGATATATGCTTAAAATCGTATTCTATGAACATAACGAATCCCAAATCTTTGAAAAAGAGGAAAACTTTCTCTTCTCCCATTTAGCCCTCATAGTTTGTGTCATTTCATAATATACATGAGTAGGTTTAATACTCAATCATTTCCCAAATCTAATTTGACTGTCGAATGAGGTTTAATCTACATGATGATACAATTTCTCACACCAGAAAGCATAGTAACCCTTTTTCTTCTGAGGTTAATGGTAATCTCCTTTAAAGTCTTAAGATAATTATAAGGGATGTGCTTAAGGTGACAAAGTAGTTTTGACAATACCAGCCTATTGATAGCATTTTAATTATATCTCTCTTCACCATAGGAAACTGTATGCTTTCTGCTAAATAGTTTAAAGGTCTGCTGTTGTGTCTTTAAAATTAATTTCCACTGTAATCAATACTTTTAACCTACTGATACACCAGATACCTGAAACTTCACCCACCATTCTATAACCTCTGAAATGAAATTACACTCTGGGTTACTTTTACTGGAACAGAGGAGTGCATGAGATGTAAGTATCAACTAGGAAACTCATACATATTTATGGGCTCACTTGTCTTCTTTATGCATTTAATATTTTATGACATTTATTTTCCTTAATTTTATGTATATTTTGTTTTGATGTGTTTTGGGTGAGAGTTTTACAGGAGAGAACGTCATAATATAAAAAAAAGGTGTATGGTCTGAGACATAGCAAATAGGAAGCACTAATGTAAACTTTTGAAATAAGAGGGAAATGGATTTTATGTAAAAATCACTTTTTATGATTATTTCCTATGTATTTGTTCTAAAGGTAACTGTATATTTTACTAAATTGTATATATATGTATATACAACATATATAATTATGTACATTTATATAAAATAAATTTACATAAAATGTATTTATATATAATATATAACTATAAAATAATTTAAAAATGCCCAAAATAGTTCATTATCACTTATCTGTAAGGCTAAAATAATCAAATTTCTAAATCTTTTTTTTCAAATTAGGTAAACCTGATTATTTATTTTGACATGGATTTAGTTTCAAGTCTTATAAATTTGATTTTAGTCATACAGTGTTAAACATCCATATGGAAACTGAAAATTTTAGTCACATATCCAGATGTTTGACTATATTAAATCAAACTAATTTTTACTTTGAATTCTCATTTTGTTAAGAAGATCACATTCTTCATCTCATAAAATCTATTCTTAGCACCCAATTCTTCATTTGAAGCCAAATTATGATCTAATAGGTCAGATACGTATTCCTCTGATTTTAACAGACAGATGGAATTGCAATATATTCCACATAAACTATTAAGACAATCACAATACTTAATGCTTAGGAGAACAGATGAACTCTACCTGTTTCATCACCATCATTTTACAGAAAAGAGAACTGATGTCCAAGACATGTGGTCATGTTCAAGGTCACATAGTTAGGGATGAAGCTTACTTAGTAAAGTCTTATTACCTGGTAGTTTTAGTATTTTACCACACCTACCATATTAAATTTATGGTGTGATTAATGTATTTTACAAATAACTTTAGAAATAAAAGGGCCACAGTAGAATTTTCAGGTTTTTGAAAGACTAGAAAAACCAGTAGAATTTCTATAATACTGGCTCCAACAGTTTCTACAAAAGAATCAGAAATGTCCTTAATCTGTCAAGTCTTTAAATTCTTGAGCCTTTAACCCTTCGTCTATAAAGCTAAACTAAGTTTTAGCAGAATTTTATGATATAGTGTCCTCATGTCACGGGAATAGTGCATTTGTGGAATGGAAAGGGGTTAGTAAAGGCACAGAAATCAGAAAACCCTAAGTAGGTTTAAATGAAAAGAACCCGAGTGAATGTGTGGCATGTCTGTTTTTATTTGGCACATATTATATGCCACCACTCTGATTGTGCTGAGGATAAGGCTTTGA